GTTTTTATGAAAGTTTATTCTAAGTTTGGCTACAGTATATGTATATAAAATACCTAAAATTGAATCCTTGATTGGGCAAATGTAGAGTCCTTGAAGTTACATAAACTATTTAGTAATGCCTTAACATTCATCATTGCCTGTTTTAAACATGAAGAGCTTTAATATATGTTATTTTTAGTTCCCGTGACCTAATGGATCTCCTTAAGAGCACTATGTTAAATAGTGCCTTCCTAATGCTAGGAATAATAGTTATGGAATTAAGGAAATTTGAAATGTTTTATTTTTACCCCCAGAAGAATATTTTCCTGTTACATTTTCCAATAATTCCTTCTTTCTTTAACCATTAATGTTTCCTTTTAAAAACTGAAGAAAATATTTTATATTAATGTTTTACTTGATATGTAGTATTTTATTTGGTGCCAATATATGAAATTTTTAAAAAAGAGACAGTCAACCCTGGAGTTACACAGAATAAAATGAGAAGAAAATTCTAGCAAACAAAATTGCATTTTATAAGGGAGCAATAAGGTATCTAACTCACGAATAAATTTAGGTGAACACTATTCTTATGTTCTTATATTATTATGCGTATATTGTGAAAACCTTTCTGGAAGGTGTTTTGGCAATTAAATATAAAGCCAACTAATGTATGTATACTTTGACCCAGTGATTCCACCTCTAGGATTTTATTCAAAATAAATAAGTATGCCACAACATTTATTTCAAAGCTGCTCATAAAAATTGGAAACAATCTAAAGAGCCATCAATAATAATTTTAGAATATCCATAATTGTATAGCCATAAAGTAACACGCCATTCAAATTTTAATTTACATTAAAGATACTCAAGTGAAAAGACCAGGTTATAGAAGAATACGTGTGACCTAGACATTTTTATGTGAATAGAAAAAATAATATGGAAAAGATGCTTACTATTAACAATGACCGTGGCTGAGTTCAGGAGAGTAGAGAATAGCTTGGGGTATGAGCAGGTATGCAAGTCTTCTAAAAATATTTATTAAAAAATATTTTTTGTCACATTAAACTAAATTCCTAACATTCTAATATAAGGAAAAAGTCAATCATTCAAAAAGCTTTATGAAATTATTTTAAAAGTAGTTCATTTTTAATGTAATTTTTAATCACTCTAAGCATAATAAAATATCCCCAAAATATTAATGATTATATTCCTGTTATCTAAACCTTTGCTGCCATCTTTTGGAAGTAGGTTACTAATGCAGCCGTGGATTTCTTTCACCTTCTGGGAAAGCCTTCCCAAATTAGGAAAACAAGGAAAAATTACATTCTCACAGGAGAGCGACCCTAAAGCAAAATTAGATTTTCTCCATAGTGTTGAAGAATTTGTTTTATTCACATTACCTACAGCTGGATTCTGGCCTCTCTTTCTTGAAAATCCTCAAAGGGGTTTTCCTTTACAAAGAAACTCCAACTGAGCAATGCCTGGACTTTCCTCAATGCTGCGTTTTAATTCCACAAAAACTCATAAAATTTTTGTGCAAAAACAGTAATAGTTTGTCTTTTCTATCCCCAGACTGGACTCATCTTAAGGGGAAGATGCACAAAGCAGGAAGGGGCTGAGCAATTCCAAAAAGGTAGGTGAAAGAGGGAGTTACACTTGGAAGAAATGACATGTAAAACTATTTTACACAGTGTGGGTTAATCGATCAGGAAAGAAAGAACACACTAGCTCAACTTGCTAAATAAGAATAATGTCACTGTGTGTATGAAAACATTATTAAAATTGAAGATTTCTTAAAACATCAGGAACATCATAAGGTCAATATAACAAACGAGTCTTGTCTGACATTTCATAGACGAAAATAACTACCTGATTATCAAGTTGAATAATGTTTTTTCAAACCTACCTGAGTCTCAAGATGTTACATTAGACATGCTGGCATAATAGACTAACAATGGCAGGTTTCCTTCACTCATCAGAAGCTGATAAACACTTTTAATCAGTGTAGTTGGTTATCGCTGGCTTCCTCAAGATTCTGACACTTCCCTTCCAGAAGTTCTCACCCCGCAAGTTGGCACCGGTATTGAGAAACACACTTGCATCTTGGGTGCTTACTCTCATTCTCTTCTGACATAAGCATTCAGTGTTTAATGTATATATAATCTTTATCAGTTGACATCTATGAGGATTTGCTTTTTGTAGTGCACTTCTCAAAATGCTAGACAGGTGGTTTATTTATTCACCCAGGGCTGGCTGTGAGTACAAGATCCTTTGTCTCTCTGGAACTTGCGCTGCCAATCACAGGACAATAAATAATTTGCCTGCTGAGGGGAGGGCAGGGAACTTTTGAAGAAGAGTCACTCCTCAGTTGCTTCTTGATTGGAAATAGATCTTCTCCCTCCCCTTGTGAACCAAAAAGCAGCACACTATCACTTTGTTCAAATGCTTAAATCTTCAATGAGATAGACTACATATTCATAGACGATTTCCTCTGCTTAAAATATACTCCTGATCCTTCCTATATCCTAAACTCATTAATCAACTCACACTGAGTTTCTCTGCGAAAACTTTGTGGTGCCTCCAGGAAAAATTCTTTGCTCTCTCTTGAGACCTCTCTTTGTACTTCACAGAAAAATTAGCCCAAAGTATAATCACCATGTGCTTACCCAACCTTCCAGCTGTCTCTGGTCTATTAAGATCCCTAGGCAGAGACCTACTCTGGTTTGCATTTGAACTTCCCAAATCTGACCTAGAATGTTATTGATATGGGTGTACTGAACGAATGAATGAATGAGCGAAGACAAGGTTGAGAAATGAAAAGGGCAGAAACTAAAAAAATATTTGCTAAGCAAATATGTCTGAGATCAAGGATATATTTGAAAAAAATAAAATAAAGAGAAAATGTTACATAAGCTACTGAAATTTTGTGTGTTGTAGTGTTTTTATTTTTTTAATTGAGTATGTGTGGCCTTTTGGAATGTTTCAAAAATTATTTTTCAGTTTAAACTGCTATTTGCTTATTCATGAGTTCATGCAACAATTATGCATTTACTGCAAACTGTGTGTTCGATAAAATCATAGTATTAATTCAGGTATTATATAATGTTATTAACATATTATACTGAAGCTACCTAAAAATATTGATAATGTGTATAATATTCTACTGTTTAAGGTAACAGTAGAAAAATACTGTGCTTTAGGTTTTGTGTAGAAATAAAGTTGAGTTCAGGTTAACTTCCTTTGCTTACTGTAGCTTTGTAAGGCATAACTTGATATTGTTTATTAATTATTTTGTACCAAGTTGAAAATAAAAATCTAGTGGGTTCTATGGAAAAGATAGGATCTTAAAGCCTTTTTCATTAATATTTTTTGTGAATTTTATTTTCTTAAATCATACCTAAATGAAAACTACATATTAGCCAGGTGGATAAAAAATGAACAGAGTTTTTTGAATGAATATAAATATTCAACATGAACAAATTAGGACTCCGCAAATTAGGATGCTGGGGATTCTGTCCTCTCACTGTGGGTACAGTCACCATGATGGAATTATATTTGTTTATTAATAACTTACAGGAATTGGAAAGTTAACAGTAACTGGTAGAAATGGGAGATATTTGTCTTATGCAATGACTCAGTCAAAAATGTTTGAAGACATCAAAATTAGGCAAATGTTGATCAAACTGAGTTTCCAAACAAGTTGAATATGAATCGAATACAATTTTAAAAAATTGAATTGTAAATGTTGTAAATGTTGCTAAAAGTAAAATGTTGTAAAATGTTGCAAATGTTGTAAATGTTTGTTTGGTTGTTTTGGTTGTTTTGAAAAAATTGAATTGTAAATGTTGTAAATGTTGCTAAAAGCATAATTTTTAACTAAATTTCATATTTCTTGTTATGCACATTTAGTTTTCAATATGTTAATTTATTAAATCTATATATTTCAATGGGATTTGTTTATAAATAATTGTTGAATGAGTGAAGAATTAATAAATTTTAGAGATATGGGTAAAAATACCAGGAACAACTTTAATTACTAGTCAATGCATTCATTTGAACAATTTAGCTAGGATTAAATATCTTTTAAGTTAAAAATAGTATCAATCCATGTTATTTTGAAGTCTTTAAAGAAGTGTTTTTGTCTTTTGTTTATTTAAGGATTCCCTATGCTACTTAAGTGATGTTGATTTGGGTTACTTCAAGCAGCATGTGGTCCTCTGGTCTGAGACCATTTTGTTTATTGAGTGGTTTGCTTTTAACCAGATTATCCACTTCTAATACAAAGGGGGAAACTTTAAAGAAACACTTGGAATGGGGTTTTCAGCTGTGTCAACAAGGGATGACTTCTGTCCAGGTCCTTTGTGACTGAGTTGTATAAAAAGTGTATCTCATAATGACTGAATGTAATCCCAGGCACTCTTGCAGGTATCCCACCTGCATTATTTCATTCAGTAGTCACAGCAAGCCTCTAAGGTGGCTATTTGTTTTTTTTTCCAGAAGAGGAAACTGGAGCATCATTTGCCTGACATCACACGGGTATAGGGAAGTACCAGAATTCAATGGAGCCGTTCCTTTCCCTAGCCTGCAAATGTCACTACGTAGCTAGCTATTCTGTCCCATCTGTCAGTACGCTCTTCTGTCAGTACTCTATTCCGATTCGTAGAACTTCATAGCCTAACTCTGGCAAAACGGTAAATGTGCTTTGGCTCAAGCAGCAGGTGGAGCTCCACTAGAAAGCTCAAGGCTCTTGGTTCCGGGAGGGAGCCGGGGGGTCCTGTCTCCTAGGCAACAGCTGTAGCACCGTAGACGACAATGCTCCCCTTTCCCGGGACCCAAAGGGGTGATGTCATTTCCTTCGTCTGGGCGATTGCCTCAGGGGCGCGTCAGGCGGAAGAGCGGTGTTGGGTACCCGAGAGACCCGGCGGTAGGGAAGTCACTTCCTTCCGGAGACGCGGTTTCCTAGCAACCGTCTCCCATCTCCGCTTTTAGTCCCTCCCCTTTGCTCAGTCTCGCAGAGCCGGCAGGCCCAGGTCGGGGCGAGAGGCTCCTGCGCGAGGCCGGGGGCTCAGTCCTTAAGGTAGCGGGAGCCCATCGGAGGATCGGCTGGGGTGGGTACAGAACACGGGTCTTGGGGGGTCTCGGAGGAACGGGACGTGGACGGCGCTGTTTGCACGGGCCTGGCGAGTGCTGGGAGCTGGGCGGGCAGACGGCGCGGTGCTGTGCGGAGCCGGCTGGGACCCGAGCGCCACCCGGCCGGGGAGGGGAGTCGTCCCCGGGCGCGCGCTGCGGCGGACGGCTAGGTGGCCGAGGCCCAGGCCTCCACTCCGAGCACCAGAGAAGTTCGCGGGCCCATTCGTGCAGTGATTTTAGTGCTGCCTATCATGGAAGCTTCGTTTTGTTTTATCTAGCCCCATGAGCACTGTTGTGAGAGGGAAGAGCGACTGGAAAAAAAACAAAAACAAAAAGCATCGCTATTGCAGTTTAGCATTATTGATCTTTGTCTTTCACTAGAGCTGTACGCAAGCTTTTGTTTGTTTGTTTTGGTTGTCCTTCTAGTTTTTATCTTTTATGCTGCCGATCTCCTTAGGAGTCTTTTTAAAATAAGGTATGGCTGTTTCATGGGCAATGTTATATTTCTTGAATGGAAGAGAAGGGAAAAATAAGGTGTATTTTAATTGGCAACATTTTAGCATACTAAGCTGTTGCAGTCGTTTATTTGCTCATACTTAAAATAATTGCAAAACTATTTTAGGATAACTTAAATTTGACTTTTTTTGATAATAAACTCATGAAAATTTTATATTTCTTTAGAAGAACTCTACATATTTAAGTGAATATGTAGTGCAATGTTCATGAGATGCTTTTCTTAGTTGTTCGCTCTTTTTTTTTTTTTAGCACTAAAGGGTAGTAATAGAAATTCTCAAGTTTGCAAAAAAGTCTGATTTGTTTTTTGTATATTTCAGACACCATCAGAGTTTGAATTATTCCTATTATTTATTAGCTGTTTTATAAAGGTAAAGAGTAAAAAACAAAACAAAAAAAACACTATGTCTGATGAAGTTTTTAGCACAACTTTGGCTTATACAAAGAGTCCAAAAGTCACTAAAAGGACTACTTTCCAGGTAAAGTATTTCAAAACATTTTTTTATTTTGAATGATTTTAAAGGTAAACACTGTATTAGCAATGTTGGACTTGAAATGATTCTAGAAAGGGCCCTGTATAATGCAGGAGTATATCTTACATTCCTGTGGAGGTTTTGCGGTTGATCGTGTTTAGGCTTCAGTATTACCAACTCTTCTGTGTGGCTTTCAGACTACTTGACTAGCTTCACTAATAAGTTCTTACTAAGTTAAGTTTAACTCAACCTTTAAAAGTTAAGTTATATAGCAACTTCAAATTTGCATATAATTTTTTTCTGTTATAATAACATTTCAGTTTTCACTATCCAGTCACCACCATTTTGAACTCAGCCTCTAAGTTTGCAGTATTAGTTATATTTATTACTGCAATATGCTAAAACAAAAGATCTTAAAAAGTACCAGTTTCTTCCAAAATTCCAGTTTGTAATAAATCCTGTCTAAATTGAGTCCTGTCTTGTTTATTATTCTCCCGCCCTAATTACACCCTGTAATTAATTTATTTGATATTGCTTCTCTTTTCCAATTGAACTGTAAGCTCCATAAGGAGGAGGATCTTGTCCGTGATGTTACACACACTGAGTCTGAGGGCTTGGGTGCATGGCATAAGGTGGGCTTTCATTGAATAGTTGTTATATGAATGAAACCTGAGTTTGAAAGCAGTTATTAATCAAGCATTGTTTGTGTAAAGAATTAATTCTAAATATGAGACCTCTATGTTTGGGTGGAAATTGATTTTAATTATCTCGTTTCAGGATGAGCTAATAAAAGCAATTACAGCTCGCTCAGCCAGGCAAAGGAGTTCCGAATACTCAGATGACTTTGACAGTGATGAGATTGGTATGTGTGAATATGGAAAAGTACGCCTCTTTTTGCTTCCTTAGTTATGTTTAGCTCATCCCTTCAAAAACAATCACGTTAAAATAATAGCTGTATATACACTGGTTTTAAATTTCCAACTTTTTAATGAGTAAGAAGCCACTTGTAATCTTCAAGAAGAAGTTGTATGATTGTCTTTGTTTCTGAACGGTGTATACTGAAAATATAAATTAACCGATAGCAGGTTTGAAATAAAAGGCTGCCTGTCTGTTGTAAACCATGTTGGACACACCAGTGTCAACCCTGTGAGACTCTGTAGTGAATTAAAAACTAGAGCCCAGAGAACTAAACTTTGGTGCATGTCAGAATCACTTTTGTAATGCTTTTTGTAAATCAAATTTTTTTGGCTGTAATAGGGGCTCAGTTTTAAAAACCTAGTATATCAGTGCTGGTATGACTTGATTTGGTCTCTTTTGATTATGTAAAAATATTAACATTTTGGGTTTCAGATGTAAGCATACAGAATTCTAAACTTGAAATTCAGTGCTTTGTATGTTAATATTCAGTGAATGATTTTTAATGTTCTCTGAAAATAATCAGAACAGTGGTTGAAGCATTGCTATATAGTTAAGTTGGCATTCTTTAATATTCTTCTCACAGTAAAATCTAATACTCTAGTATGGATGAAATTGTAGTACCAAAGTTTTTATGGAAAATAATATAATTAGCTAATAACTAGTAAAATTCTACTTACCAATGTTTTTGATTTTATATAGTGAAGTCGTTTGCAAATAAAAGCTCTACAGTCCAAAACCTAATTTAAATATCCTATGTCATTGTTATTTTGAGGAACATTTGAATGACTGCTCAGGGTAAGCGGAGGGTTTGACCCACAATTCACATTCAATAAGTAAGTTTTGAATAAATTAATGAAATTGAAATTTTTATTTCATAAATACCAATAAAAACTGCCTAAGTTAGCTGTGTTTTAGAGCTGCAGATACTTGCATCCATTCATGGTTGTAAATTCATTTCTAGTCTTTAGGGTAATCTTTTTGATTACCGTAGCCTTCACAACTTTAAAAGAGACTATTGAAAACACTTTTTCTCTTCCATTTTTCAGTTTCCTTAGGTGATTTTTCTGACACCTCAGTAGATGAAAATTCAGAGAAGAAAAAAATGAATGATTTCCATTTATCAGATGATGAAGAAAAGAATTCTCCAAAACTGTCTTTTTTGAAAACCAAGAAATCAAACAGTGACATAATGAAAGATGAGTCAGTATTCTCCACCAAAAATGATGAGGAAATGGCACCTGATGGTTGTGGAGACATGGTTGGAACTCCCTTATCTGAATCTCAAAATAAAGACCAGGAAATTGAAAAAGACAAAATTAAAATGAAACCTAAACCCAGAATTCTTCCAGTCAAAAGCACATCTTCAGGTAATTCACGTTACTATAATTGCATTTCTTGAAAACTTATTTATTATTTTTAAATTTTTTTTAAGATTTTAGTTATTTATTTGAGAGAGAGAGAGAGAGCACAAGTGGTGGGAGGGACAGAGGCAGAAGGAGAAGCAGACTCCCCCCGAGCAAGGAGCCCGTTGTGGGATTCGATCCTGGGATCATGACTGGAGCCGAAGGCAGACGCTTAACCCACTGAGCCACCCAGGTGCCCCTTGAAAACTTATTTTAAGATAATCAAAAAATATCTTTATGTGGTAGCTAGTAAATATTTAAGAAATAGACTTAACTTTTTAGTTTTAGAGTTATAAACCAAAATAATGGAACCATAGAGAAAACTCGTAATTCTGATGTCCAGTTACATGTCAGTCTTGCATCTATGCTGGTGCCTGATAGAAGGCCAGAATACCTTGTCATCCACAGCTATGGCTCCCGAAGCTTCTAGGTCCAGGCTTGCAAGGCCTTTGGGCTTCAGTTTTGTTTTTAGGGATGGGCCTGCAATGCAGTCCTTTCTGATCCATCTTACACTCCAGAAATTAGCTACAGCAGGAAGGAACTAGTCCTTCAAACAATCATTTCCATGTCATCATTTGCCAGAAAATTTTTTTTGACATTTGAGTATGTGAAGGGAGAGAGTTTTGTTGTTGGTGGTGTTATTTAAGCCTCCAACTTTCCTTCAGAAAAGAGAATCTCCATTTAGTTTCTCTGTTCCCTGGGAAAATCCACTAAAACTCAGTTTTCTGAAGGGAAGTTCCTGATGTGATTGGGAGTACAGTAGTTTCTCCACAATTCTATTGAGCTGTAGGCACAGTGGAGCAAAGATGGAGTGAAGCAGGAACCAGCCTCTCTGAGGTCCCCTGAGCCACCACACAGAAACAGGGGCATAGAAGTTTAAGGGTTTGGTGTCTTCTAGTCATTTTTTCCTGTTTTGTAGAAAAAATATTAGTCGATACTAACCTTCATAAAAATTTCTTTTCTTTATGTCATCATTAAATACTCTACTGGTAAATATTCATACTTCACATATTAGATATCAGTGGTAACATCAGACAGAACTTTGTTTCAGACATGTATTAGGGAACCACTCCTTCCCCCACAATCTCACTAACTTTCAAATATGAACAGGGCAGGGACTATTAGGAGAAAAGCCACCATATGTTAACTATACGTGACCTTGGTGAATAGGGTAGGCCTTATTGTCCTCATGAGGAGGATAAAACCTGCTCTTCTTGTTCTACAGAATTGTTGTGAGAATCTGTTGAAGTATATCTCAGAAACTATACAATTCTACCAAAAATATAAGCACAAGGCATAATGAAACAGAATTAAATTGCTGAAATGTACCTTCCCAGTGTCCTAAATAGTATCAAAAATAGAGAGAAAGGGAACATAATGGAATTTGATGAATAATCTAGTAGTTCACCATTTCCCAAAGTACCTTCTACAGTTTGTTCATTGGTATTATTGGAAAAACACAGAACTATAGAAATTTTAAAGTAATTTCTTTGTGAGAGAACTTCTTGGAGACATTAATAAAGAAGTATTAACTTCTTTTTTAAGAATTTTTAAGAAGGATAGAACAGACAGTGTTTCCTAGTCCTAGTGACTTTAGAAATCTATTTTTGTGGATTATATTTATCCTATTTGTCTTGATTCTGAAAAGCTTTCATTAGGTAAATAAGAAAATGTAAGCATACAGAAGCTAAAAGTTGGTCTGATATAGGTAGAAGAATATAATTAGAACTTTATGGTAGATAATCATCAATAATCCACCTATTTAATACCTTTGTTTAAAAAAAACCTGTGACGAATTAAAATGAATAGAGAAATGCTGTCTCTAAACCACAAGATGGCACCAGGATTCTAAATACTATACACAAATGTGTAATACTTATTTTTAAAATCATTAGCCATTTGCAATTTACTATATGTTATATAAAAATAATTACCAAAACAGGTAATCATTTACACTTAATTATAAAAGAAAGCATTTTGAAAATGTATAGATATATTTTTTCTTTCTGAAAACTTGACAGTACTTCTGGGAGTGGAATTTTGGTATAAAATATATTAAAGTCATTATTCCTAGGCTCTTCAGATTGAAGAAAAAAATTGAGATTAGTGGTTAGTGCCTGGCATATACAGTTCAGTAAGTATTTTAATGTATAAATGAATAAGTGAGTGATTCATTGATGAAAGAAAGAGTGTGGTTCACAAGCTAAGTTTTATCCTTTTCTAAATTTTTAGACTTTTTCTTATAAAGTTTGGAACTTAATGTTTTTAATGTGGTAACACAATGCAGAGTAGCAATTAATGCTTTATAAAAATATTGGAACCTGAAAGTTTCCTTTGTTCTTGCTTGTCTTTTGTTAAAAGTGCAATAACTAGACTCTTTCACTTTACTGAGTAACTGTCACATGGGGAGTGATTGCAGAAAGTAATTTTTACAGGGTATTTTGCTTTTATTTTAACATTAAAATGACTAAAGTCATGAACTTTGGAGAAAGGATGCTCTTGCTTTAATCCCACAAACTAGAGTTTATGACCATGGGCACACAATCTCTTTGTTCCTCATTTTGTCTGTAAGGTAGGCATAATAGTTGAACCTGCACTAGTGGTTTGAGGCAGTTAAATGAGTTTATATATTTGAAGTGTTTAGAACAATCTGGCATAAATTAAGCACTTTTCTAAATGCTATTATTTCGCATTTGTTCATAAGCAGATCATTTTATTTTTCCATACATGTTTATTATGAATACAGCCTCTTTTACTATGTTACAAGCACTGTGATGATAACCACGAATATGACATTAAAAAGACATGGTACCAGAAAAAAAAAAAAAAAGACATAGTACCAATCCTCCAAGACTGTCTTAATCCATTTGGGCCACTCTATCAAAGTACCATAGACTGGATGGGTTTTAAACAACAGAAACCTATTTCTCACAGTTCTAGAAGCTAGAAGTCTGAGATCACAGTGCCAGCATAGTCAGGTGAGAGCCCTCGTCCAGGTCTCGGACTTCACATTGTATCTTTACATGGTGAAGGGGCAAGGGAGCTCTCTGGAGGCTCTTTTATAATCCCCTTCATGAAGGTTCCACCCTCATGACCTGATCACCTCCCTACTGCTTGATACCATCGCCTTTGTGGTTAGGATTTCAGCCTAAAAATTGGGGGATACACAAACATTCAGACCATAGCAAAGACTTTGCAGTTTAATGTGAAGGTATATAAAAGGTGTATTAAGAACACAGGAAAGTAGGCAACTTAATTTACCTGAGGGCATTAGGGAAGGCTTTCGGGAAGAAATGGCAATAATAGTTGAAACTGACAAATAATGGTACCCCTCCCTACTCAGGCGTCTTGGTTGTAAATGACTCAACTCAAACTTCAGTGGAAAGAGGAATTTATCACCTTATTGAGCATGGATGTGAGAAGACCTCTCTTTAGGTGTGATTAAGTTTAGAAACAGTACTTTCATGTCATTTGGATTCTCCACTTCTGTCTTCCCTCCCTGATTCCCAGACCTTCTCACTCTCTCCTCCCACCCCTGTCACTGGCCCAGTTACTCCATCCCTTGATCCTATATTCTTGGTCTCCTATATTTTGGACCTATATTGGTCTGTTTGTCTCAGACATCCCTTCACTTGGCAGGGGTAGTCCCCAAATGATATCCTTCCAGCTTCATGACCTTAAAGGCATATCCTCCAACTCTAAATAGAAAAATATGGACCTGACGGCCTGCTGTGGACAGGGGAGAAGTTTCTGTGATAAGCTGGGATGGTATGCATTGTGGGCCCTCCCTTCTCATTGAGGTATGGAGGAGATCTTTGTTCACCCACTAGAATTATAAGGATGGAGAAGAGGAGAAACTACCCTGAAGAAAACAGGAGTGATAAACCAAAATAAACAAAAAACAAAAAAAAACACACACACACACAAAAAGCAAAAAACAAAAGAACACAAAGAAAAGAAAGGAAAAGAAAAGTTTACCACAGTTATTAATGTTCACTGAGCACTTACCATGAGTCAGGTACTGTGCTATGCACTTTATTTTCTCACTCAGGTCCCACAGGTGCCTTAGGAATTCTTAACTCATTTTACCAATGGGAAAACTGAGCTTGTGGAGGGTTATATGGTTGGGTAAGGTTACAATGTTAGTAAGTGTCAGAGCCAAGATTCAGATATGAAATACCTGAAATAGGCACACTCATACAGACGGAAGGTAGAATGGTGGTTTCCGGGGGCTGTGAGGGAAGGAAAAGGGGAGCTGCTGTTCAATAGGTGTAAAGTTTCACTTAACGCAAGGTGAATATATTCCAGAGATCTGCTGTACAACACCGATCCTTTAGTTAACAATACCGTATTGTGCGCTTAAAATTTAAGAGGGTAGGTCTGTGGTTAAGTGTTCTTACCACAGTTAACAGAAACTGACTCAACACCATCTTTCAGGCATTATACAATATTCTGCTTACACTGAGGCTCAATTGACATGCAAGCATTTGTCAGGAGAAGAGGCAGGAAGCAGACATTCTAGGCGGAGGGATCAGCTTGAGTAAAAGTATGGTACCAGGCGGGGGATTGCGGCAGAGCCGCGAGACCGCAGGGAGCCCGGCATTTCCAGAACACAGATTGCAAAGTGGGTGTGCCCATAGACGAGGCAGCGCCAGCAGCCGGCGAGAAGACCGTAAAACCTCGTATCTTGTTCACAGGCACTTAAGCTCTTATTCCGTAGGGTTGGACGCTGGGGAGCCATTGAGGCATTTTGTGGAGAGGAGCGATGTGATCTGATTTTCATTTTATAAATACCTCTGAGGCAGGAATCTAGGAAAGAGCGGATGAGGAGCTGACGGTGGGGATGCAGAAAGTGGGATAAATGAGAGATGTAGCAAGAAGAATCAGTAGGGTATCCTGACGCGTTGGATATGGGGGGAACAGAGGGAGGAATCCGGGATGGCTTGAACATTTGGCCAGAGTTTAGACCACAGCTAAAATTGGCAATGAAGCATTTATAGCAGTGCCAGCTTGGTATGATGATGGAATCTTCTAGTAGCATTCGTAAGCCCATGTGTAGATAAAGAGGAGGAAGGTGGTGATTATTTCAATTTTGAAGTTTTGTCGGAAGAAAACACTGGTAAACAATGGAGAAATGAATATGCATAACAGGTAAAATTTAGGCAAAATGTTTAGGTAGAAAACTTTCTTATGTTTTGAGGGCTGGAAGTATACCAGTGTTAGACTGTTGTTTTAAACTTGGAAGTAATGGAAATGGTAACTGAGAAATTTTAATAACTCCAGGGAAGTTTTATGGACTCAGAGAACTGCAGCTCATAAATGAAGTTCTTCATTCCTCCGTCCAGGGAGAGCGAGCACTTCTGTCCGCAGTACTCACATCATCCTCATACTTGTAACAGAACTTACCTTTCTCTTGGACTTCCTTTTGTTTCAAACCACCTCCCCTCCCATCCTGTAAAATCCTTGGACAGGGCCATTGTCACTGTCTTGATTAGGAAGTCCAGTAATGTGAGTAATGTGTACAGGGCCTGGCAGCCCTCACTGCAGGTTAATGGATGAGCCCCCCTCCTGTTATAGAGGCAGAAACTGGGGCACAGTTGGTGTTCTGTTTTCTGTTTTTTACTTTTTCTCGAATGCTATGAGAGTTCCTAAAATTGAAGAGTTAACTTGTAACAGGTGTCCCAAGGACCAAGTATACTAGTTCCTTCTAGGATGGCAGCTACTTTTAAAAAAGAAAATTGGATTAGGGACTATTGCTTATTTGTGCTTACGGGAGCCCTGTGTAGAGAAGGACTGCCCGGGACAGAGAGCCACGGTGCACAGGCACGGGAGGGAAGTCACGGGCGTTGTTTTATATGCCCACGTTAAAACGGTTTGTTTTTTCAACAGAAAGCAGCAGTGGCCTCGAAGCAAACCACCCCTTTAAGCCTTCACCTCGGCCCCGGGGCATGTTGAAGAAACACAGCCCTGGGGACGTGAAAGATGGGCTAGGAGAAGATAAGACCACTGCCCTCCATGAACAATTGGAGGCACACTCTGCACCGCCCCCCCTTCCAAAGCTACTAGAAGCTGAGAAAAAATCCTTCTCCGGAAACCTGGATCCTGAGGTTAGCACTACTGTTGAACCGCTGAATTGTGCTCAACTGAGGTCTTTGCGCCTGATTATGGAAAAGAGAATATTTGTGTACCTGTGTGTGTGCACGTGTGCATGTGTGTTTATGTGTGTGTTGTACATGTTTTCTTCAGCAATTGATAGGGAAATAATCTAAAGAGGTTTTTTTTTTGTTTTTTTTTAAGATTTTATTTATTTATTTGACAGAGAGAGAGCACAAACAGGGGGAGAGGCGGAGGGAGAAGCAGGCTTCCCGCTGAGCAGGGAGCCTGATGCCGGGCTCCATCCCAGGACCCTGGGATCACGACCTGAGCCGAAGGCAGACGCTTAATGACTGAGCCACCCAGGTGCCCCTAAAGAGTTTTTTTTTAATATACAGTATTCCATTGAGTCTAAAACTTCACCTACTCTAAGATATGGCAAAGATGTAGCATTATTTTATGTACTGCTAAGAAAGAAGAAAAACTCTGCCAATTAATCTATAATACACCAGTATTATAAAATGCATCATCCGATTTCAGAGAAAGTAAAATGTGAAAAAAATGTGTTGCCCTTTTGAATCGAGGCGATACTGCCTATCTTTCATCAGAAGAATTTATAGTTTTATTCACATATCTTTGAGTTATATAATCTATGGCTAAGGACAATATAGCCAGTGTCATTTTATTCACTTGGTTTTATTCACTCAACAAAGGTATATTGGATGATCATGACACTGTCCTGTGTTTGGGGGGATCTGCCAGAATGGGAGTAAATGTGACTCTTCAGGATTTCATCAGAGAGTTTCCTGTGTATTGTTATGGGGAGGGGGAACGCTTGGCCCCTTCTCTTAAGCCGACTGAACCACTCAGGCACCCTCGGTGGGTTTTTAAAAAATATTTATTCCGCTTGGATTTCGTTGAGCTTTCAGGATCTATAAACTGATAATTTCTATGAAAAGGAAGTTTTAAGATATTTTTCCTGCCCTAGTTTTCTTTTCTGTCCTTCTAGGACTGAAATCTTTGGTGTCTCACCTGATCTCTAAAATTCTGTTCATGTTTCTTCAGTCTTTATTCCCTTTGTTTTTCAGATTGAATAATTTGTATTGCTCTGTCAGCAAGTTCACTGCCCTGTTCTGCCATCCCCTATCTGCTGTGGTCTATCCAGCAAATTTCTTATTTCAGTATTGTAGTTTCCAACTCTATAATGTCCATTGGGTTTTTGGTTTTTTTTTTTTTTTTGTATTTTTCATATCTTTAAGATCCCATCTGTGTCAGCTTCCATGCATGCGTTTCCTTTAAGTGCTTGAACATATTTATAATACCTACTTTAAAGTCCCTGTTTACTAATTGCAACATCTGGGTCATCTCTAGGTTGGCTCCTGAGGACTGTTTTTGGGGTTTTGGGGTTTGTTTGGTTTTTTTATGAGTATGCACCACCATTTTCCATTTCTTCACCATTTAGTAACTTTTTGATTGAATACAGGATATTATGAACGATATGTTATAGAGATTCTCGATTCTGTTATGTTCCTCTGAATATGTATTTTAGTATACAGATATTGTTGTGCCTGGACTCAAACTCCCAACTCTGTCTCCCTTGCCATGGGTATCAACAGAAATCTGTGCTTAGTTCTTTCAGTTTCTAATTGCTATGATTTCACAGGATCTTTTCTGATGTCTTTTCTATGCCATGCATAGATGAGCAAAGGGTTTTGGGTGAGTTTAATATGCAAATTTGGGGGTTCATGCCCACTACAGCTCTTCCTCAAACTTACTGGCTGATCTTCTCGTCCTAAACTCTTATCTCCTGCTCCCTTAAGCTAGTCCAGTAAGGCTGTAACTTTGTACTCAACACTTGAACTGCACAGATGGGTGAATGCACTCAGGCAGAAAGCTACTAATTTGCCAGTGTCCTCTGCAAAGCTTTGTCTCTCAAGGTAGAGTCCTGTGTTTCAGCCCTTTTGCCATCTTCCGAGATGGTTTCTATTTATTGCTTTTGACAAATAATTGTCTTTGTACTATAAAATATTGTGGAAATGAAAAATAGCATTTATTGTTGATTCAACAAAGCCAAACTTCTTACATTATGATACCATCAACTTTAGGCTAGATTACTCTTCTCTAAAGAGATGTTTAGTTCAGGCACACAAATATAATTATTTCATTTCAGATATAATTTTCAGAATTTTAAGGAAAACTCAAGTGCATGAAATCTGTACTTTTTCTATCTAAATATTTGGTAGTAGCTGTCTACTTGGTTTTATAAATTGCTTTCATTTGGACGAATAATAATATTTGACACCAAAGGTTTTTGCCTACTGTCTCCTTTATGCTTTCTTAGAAATAAGAATTAGAGAAAAAGATATCAAATCTTTGGCTCAAATATTTATGAGATTTGATTTGAGAGCAAGAATTTTGAAAATCACTGAAAACAAATATCGAGATGCCAGTTCAAGAACTAGAATAGCTACTTTAGTGACCCCTTTTATCCAAGACACCAAGGTTTGAACGTAAAGCATGTTAGCCTCCATAGGCTTAATGCTTTTGGTGTTTCAGCAGCAAACTCCTAATAATGATGATTTCAGAGTTCTAAAATTGTCTTAATAATGCTGTTGCCCTACCACAAATCTTAAGAACTAAACCTACATAGTAAATCCTTTTTTTTTTTTTTTAAACAGGATCCATGTCTGACAAGTTTATCATCATCATCCCTTAAAGAAAGTCTTGAAGATTCCTTTTCACCAGGATCTGGGGGTAAAGCATCCATAAAAGGTGGTTATATCAAAATATTACAGCTTAGTTTATGTGTGAACTCTACATTGCTTAGAATCCTATTTGTAAAAGAAAGAATACATGGTTATAGGAATGACAGGTTTGTATTTGCCTCAGTTTTAATCCCAACTGTGCTATTTACTAACCATGTGATTTTAGATGGAGAACTAGACACAGTTCCAAGAGCAAAGTAACTATTCTCTCTGGCCCTGTATACTGATTTTTTAAAATGGGGATCATAAGAGCAACCTACCCCACACAGTGGCTGTGAGAACTAAATGAGTTAACGATACATGTACAGCACTGAGAACAGTGCCACAGTAAGCACGCAGTAAGTGTGAGGGGTGAGTTGTCAATGTATTTCTTTCCTTAGTCCTAGGACTTGTAGCTTAATGAGATCTATAAACTGATAATTTAGAGCTAAAAGGCATCGCTGTTTCTAGGACCGAGATGTGTAAAATTTATTAACTGCTTACTGTGTAGTATAATATTTGTCATTTTACAGATGAGAAAAACTGAAATGCAAAGATAGTGGGAAACATACCCAAGGTCAGTGATGGAGCCATGATTTGAATCTTTGGCTCCACAGTCCTTGTTCTTTTTACTGAACGCGTTGATTAGCAGCTCTAAAGAATCCATTAATGATACTTGGGAGGCATGAGTGCTCGCCAAGTGAAAATGTCTAACTCTAATTACAAAATTATTTTAAATCCCGCTTACTTCAAAACAAGTTTCAAAAATGGCTGTAATGGAAGCGGCAGAATTAAGACTTCGGCAATAAAGATACAAGGTTGGCCAGTAGGTGGCTCTTAGTAGAACTGAAATTTGGCGAGGACTGATTACTTTCTGTCGAACATTCCAAAGTGGGGTAGAGAGAATAATGGAAGCAGTTCTGTGATAGCAAAACTGAATCTTCTCATGCCAGAGCCTGAGACTGTCCCTTGGAGCCCGAAAGGGAAAAGCAATAGTCCCACCTTTAATGCCTGTTACTAAAGGCAGGTATCAGAAGCAACACTGCATCTTAGCAGGAATAAAACTGCCTAGAGGATGCTTTATCCTGTGTGATGACTCTTCTCACGCTGCATGAATTCTTGGTTCTCCTGCACCTCTACGGGTTTACAACTGTACTGCTTGTGCCTATGGTAACAGAGAGATGTGTGCCTCCTGCTTACACAGCCTCTCGTTCCAGCGAAGAAACACAGGCTTTGAATAGAACAGATATGGCCGTCCTACTTACTTGGTTTATCGGCAGCAGGAGCTTTTGGTGTGTCTTTATTTAGGGTAGTTATTCCATTCTCTTTACTAATATGATGTTTTTTTTCCTAAGTATTAGGTATGTCAAATGTTTTAGGAGATTGAGTAGCCATTTTCTCTTTCGTAGATCACTTTGGAGAAAAGTTTATTCAAGTTGAATATAATAGCTCTCCTTGTATTTTATTCTGCAAGACAAAGAGATTATAAACAATCCTCATTGAGTAGAAAGCGAATGAATCTCTTATCTACCGTATTAGTTCAGAAGAGAGTTTTAGTTTTGTGACTCTGTCTCAAAATAGATCAGAATGAAGAACTCCCTGAAAACCATATGAAATCAAATGAAAATGAAGAGAATTCATTTTTGATAGACTTTGTTACTACTCCAATTGAGAAATCCCAGGAAAGTCACGTGATTACTGATGACCTTGAAGAAGAGAAGGAGAAAGCTGAACTGATTATGAATGACTTAACAGTTGATCCACCACTATTGAAATCTCAGAGTATCTTAATATCTACTGACGCAACTGAATCTTCAAAGGTATTTGTATGAAATTACACCTTTTATACTATAGCTTAAAACTCAAAATAGACTTTTTAAGTATTTTATCTGCCTCATTATGTACTTCTGAATTGTCTGTGGAAAACTCATCTTTTGATAATAGTATATTGTTGGTTAGACAACAGAATCAGTCGAGTTTTACTTCAGGGAAGGTTTACAGTGAATATAAGTCAGTATTTCTTTAAAAATTATCAGAGGTATATGATCATAATATACTCTTAAATATCTCAGAAATACAAACTCTTTAAGTGGGTAAGTTTCTATAGGTCTTCATGTTAAAAAATGCAGCTACCTGGAACAATTTCTGAGGCTTTGAATTAGTGGAAGTTACTCCTTTAGATATCATTTTTAAACATTTTACAAATTTTAAGGAAATGCTTTAAGAAATGTTTATCAACATCTTGCTTGTTTAAATGGATGGACAAGATTATTATCAGAAACATTATTATTATTATTATTATTATTATTATTATTATTATAACCTTGAGAGCCACAGTTTCGGTGTGTAGGATTACTTGTCACCTAGCTATAATGTACCAGAATACTATATTTTTAAGATTTATGGTGTAGCATTTTTAGTTTTTATTTCTCTTGAATTTAGTCTTTATTCTTTATAGCTGTAGTTAGCTGGTGGCTATGTATACTTACTATTGGGAAGGGTAACAGTGCTAGTTTGAAAACCTGTGGTTGAATAGGACTTGTATAATACAGAATATCAGTGCTTTGTATTAAAATTTATGGGGAAGGTTCATTAAACCATGTTCCAGGTATGTTGTTCCTAACCACTTTATTTAGGAAAAGTCACTCATGCCAAGTTAGTAATGTGCTTACGTCTGTGGTCTCACTTCAATGCTAGCACCTGTCTGTCTGTGTAAAGTAAAGAAGTTACTCCATAAAAAGAAAAAGCGTATTCTGGAACTTACAGACAGGATCCTAGAAATGTCTGATAAAGGCAGTTCTAAATAAAAACAGGCAATTTCTGTATAACAAGTAAGATCGTAACATTTCCTTTGATTGAATCCTTAGCTTTATCCTTACTCCCTCCTGCAGGACCTTCCTCAAGTCTGAATCACATCACTCCCCTGCTAAAGTCTCTTGGTTGGATTGTCCTCAGAAGAATAAAATGCAAACACCTTCCCGCATCCTCAGGACCTCACGCTATTCTTCTCTGACCATATTCATCCACTCTCGCTGCCATTCACTGTGCTTCAGCGTCATTCACCTTTTTCTGTTTCCCAAAATCATCACGCCCTTTCCCTTCTCAGGCTCTTAGCGCTCACTGCTTCTTTCTTTCCTTCCACAGACCTCCCTTCATGTGGCCCCTTTCTTCCCATCTTTGTCTTAGCACTGCTGTCAAGACGTCGGGGAGGCCTTCCCTGGTCACTGTCATGAACGTAACCCCTCACCCTAGTCATTGTCACTGGACCCTAGTTTTATCTCCGTCGTGACTCACTTTCGATTTGGTGTTTCATGTCCGTCACCCCTCTCTAAAATGTAGTGTCCTTACGAGTTTCCAGAGGCTGCTGTACTTGAACATAGTAGATGCTTTAAGAACATTGATTTCCTAGCAGTTTGGCCTCTAAGCCTAACTGTGATAATTATGGTGAGTGATCCATCTATGGTATTTTCTCTTTAATAGAAAACCATTGAAGACAGAAATATGAAGAATAAAAAGTCAACCAATAATAGAGCATCCAGTGCATCTGGCAGGTAATAAAGCTATCCTTATCTGAGTGTACGTTCCAATAAAGCTAGTTTTAATTCAACTTCTGTAAAGTGAATTTCCTTTGGCATTATCTGACTTTCTTTAAATTCCCATCTCATGAATTGAATGAAGTCATTACTTCATGATAAAACTCCTCAGTTGATCATACTCCTTTATGAAAAGGAGTTGATTAGGGGTTCTCTGTACTCTACATGGTTCCTGGGATAGAGTTGCTTTCCTGTTTTTCCTCAGACAGTACATACACAGTAATAGAGCTGAAGTCCAGCTTTATACTTCTCTATTAAGTACCTTTGTCTCACACATGGAAACTGTACGTAAAACCTTGAGGTTCTAAGGACTAAGTTGGTTTATTGAAATGATAAGACTCTGTATTCCTTCATTCACACTGAGGATAATGAATGCCTAACTCATAAATGCTACTCAGAACCTTCTCAGTCTTTTAAGTTACCATAAATCAAGTAAAACAAGAGTCAGCAAACTTTAACTGTCAATTGCCAGTTAGTACATGTCTTAGACTTTGTAGGCCGTACAGTCACTGTTGTAACTAGTCAGTTCTGCTGGCGCAGCCGGGGAACAGCTGTGGTGCAGAAACTCACGAAATAAATAAACTGCACAAAACCAGATCGCGAGCCATATTTTCCTGCCAACCCCTGAAACAGAGGTTGTTATTCTAACTTTATATTTAGAGTTGTTTTTTGTAACAAAATGATACAAGAGATTTAAAATCTGCTTTATTAATATTATTTTTTCCATGTAACTTGAGATGTAGTCCATTTTTCTTAAAAATGTTCTAATTATAAATATCTTGAAAGAGCAATCAGTTTGAAGCTCTTAGTAGACTAAGAAAAAACTATCATTTTCCTTTTTTATCATCACTTTCAAAGTACTTATAATTTATTAATTTACAATATAATTTAAAATATAGTAATTGCAAATTCTAATGAATTTTTCTTCTACCAAGTGCAACTGTAATATTTTATGTTGATTTATTTGGATCTTTTCAGGTTAATGACCTCTGAGTTTTTAAAGAAACCTAGTTCTATAAGGAGACCTCCATCGACAACTACCTCTTCTCACTATTTAGGGACTTTGAAAGTCTTGGACCAAAAGCCTTCACAGAAACAGAATGTAGAACCTGAAAGAGCAGACAGCATAAGGGCAGCTGTTTACCAGGTAAAAAGGAAAACATTTAACAAAAAATGAAGAACTGATCATGTAATAAGGTTACCTGTTTATCAAGGAATAAAATGACCCTGTCAAAAATAGTGGCTTAATACTTAATTTATTGGGAGAGATGTTCTTTTATAATACCTCAGCAACCCAAAGGTTTTTTTTTTATTAAATTTTTTCCTTCCAAGCTTTGCTTAACTGATTCATGGTTGTTTAAGAGAATACGCCATAGCAACTTATGAAAATACGATAAAAGCAAAAATACTGTTAAGGTCTATATATGTTTTTATACTTTTTCTCCTTAAAATGTATATTGTTAAGAACAAAAAGAGTTTTAATTTTTTCCTGAGACTTTGCATTAAGCTTACACAGAAAAAGACTTTCCTGATTTTTTCACAGTTCCAAAAGAGGTCCTTTTTTTTTTTTATAGTACCTTTTAGAAAATTGTACTTACAAATTTCGGAGAAAAGTGTTAACTTATGTAGCCATTATAGGCAATCTTTGAAGTCTGTTGTTATATTTTCCTAACTCATGCTCATCTTTATATATTAGAATATTATCAGAAAAAGAAAAATGATACTAGTTTATATAGAACTTCTAAATTTTGTGTTTTGCTCTTTTAAAATTTCTCAGGTGCCTCACTGGCTCAGTTGATTACGTGTCTGCCTTCAGCTCAGCTCATGATCTCAGAGTCCTGGGATCGAGCCCTGTATCGGGCTCCCTACTCAGTGGGGAGTCTGCTTCTTCTTCTTCCTCTGCCCCTCTCCCCTGCTCCTGCTCTCTCTCTCAAATAAATAAATAAAATCTTAAAATAAAATTTCTGTCAAATATTTCAGAAATGGATAAGAATTCTGATTCATTTGGGAAACAATATGACATAGTTGGTTTTTTTTTTTAAGATTTTATTTATTTATTTTTTCTAGGGAGAGTGAAAGAGAGAGAGACATCCTGAGTGTGGGGAGGGGCAGAGGGAGAAGCAGACTCCCCACTGAGCAGGGAGCCTGATACAGGACTGGATCCCAGGACCCTGGGATCATGACCTGAGCCAAAGGCAGACACTTAACCAACTGAGCCACCCAGGCACCCTGAATATTACATAATGTTTTTCTTGTTTTCACAGGAGTGGTTAGAAAAGAAAAATGTGTATTTACATGAAATGCACAGAATTAAACGGATCGAAAGTGAAAACTTAAGAATCCAAAATGAACAGGTATTCTGAAATATAGAAATGGAAAATATTCTGGGTTTTTAAGTCAGTAAAATATCTCTGGGTAACATTTCTAAATCCACTCTTTTTTTAAATGGCAAAATAACATGTATATAAAAGAATTGATCACTGATTTTCTCTGGTACTTCACACATTTTTAGTTTGTTATAAATAAACCATCTTACATAAAAACAGATGCTCAGAGATTTCTGGTTTTATATGTGTGGAATAGATTTGACACGACTGATTAGGAACTTATTATTACTTGTGACCTCCTATTCACTCTTTCTTTACTTTTCACTGTTAAAAATTGACTTCAGTCTTACAGCTTAGCCAAGAACGTAAAGGGTCATCAGGTAGGAACCTCCAGTTTTCCTCTTCCCCACCTTGAATTTTATATGTATCCTTAAGACCAGCTCTCACCTGGGCTCTTGACCCATATCCTTCCCACTCACTGGAGCTGACTCGTTTCAGTCGGGCCTGTACTTCGGTCTCTACCTCTGACTCCTGCCTGGCGGCCCACAACAGGCTTAGTTCCCTCCCAACTTCTAAACTAGAAGCCCTTCCCTGTGCCGCCGAGTACTAAATGGATTTAGAAGGAACCCCGGGTCCCCAGTGCCCGGGACTGCATGGAGCAGCCGTGTGTGGGTGCGCCTGCATCCCCATCAGCACCTCTGTGGCCTTAGACGGCTGTGCTCTGTGCCCGACACCTTCTCGTGTCCTGTTCGCACCTCGCTGAGGTGGCTTGTACCTTTACTTCTAAAGCATGTTTTCTCTTTATAAGCCTTCATGTCATTTAGCGTTAAGCAATAAGGCAAAGAATACTATGGGATTGGATGGCGGTAAGTCAAGTAATAACATTCTTACCGAATCCTCACCTACATCTTTTCCGGTCTGGCACCCAGTTTCAACATTCGGGCTGTGTTTATTTTGTAACAGGTTTATGCTTTGATGTCAGTCCAAACTCAGGTTCAAAGCAAAGATCGGGGCTTCCTGCATGACTTGGCAGGTCGACCTCACTCTGACTTACTTTATAAGCCTGGAACTTTCCTCATCTTTTTCTTGTAATGGAAGGTTTTATTATGAGCATTTTGCAGTAGCACTCAGACTATTATAGTTTATTTTGATAACATTTGTTTAGTACGCTTCCAAAAGAGTTCTTTCCCGTGAATAGCAGATCAATATCTGATAAATGATTTTAGAAAAGGACCTTTTAAGCTGCAATGAATAATTCCGATAGCATTTTTTTTCTAAATCCTTTTGGTCCCAACCATTCTAAATAAGTTACCTGCTTTGAAAAACAATGTCCAGAAATGATGACTATGAAGGGAATTCAACACAATCTGTATGTGTGTGTCTGTATCTACCGCTGTCTGTCCATCTGTTTATACACACATGTCCGTCTCTTATTTTTTTGAAATAGAAAAGAGCTTCTAAGAGAGAAGAAGCGTTAGCATCCTTTGAGGCCTGGAAGGCTATGAAAGAAAAGGAAGCAAAGAAAATAGCTGCCCAAAAAAGGCTTGAGGCAAAAAACAAGAAGAGAACGGAGGAAGAAAATGCCGTGAGAAAGGGAGAAGCGCTGCAGGTACTCAGTGGCTTGGCGTCCCTGCCTGCATCATGTCGCCTTCTCTGACTACTGTAGATTAGTGAGGAGCTGTGGCTCTTCTCCTGTGATCACTTTCACAGTTAACAAGAAAATCGTTGTGAACTTTTTCAGGCCTTTGAACGATGGAAGGAGAAAAAGGTGGAATATCTTAGAGAGAAAAATAAGAAGGAGAGAGAATATGAAAGAGCAAAGAAGCGGAAAGAGGAGGAAACGATTGCTGAGAAAAGGAAAGATAACCTGACAGCCGTTGAGAAATGGTAATCCCAAAGGAGAGCTGTTTGGGTAGATTTCAAGTGAATGACGCTTTAGGCTCTTAAAAAGATTATTTGCTTGAAACTTACTAACGCATTGCCATCTCATTATGGCAAGGATATATTAGGGAATCTTTATTATATCCTGCCCGTTAACCGTCCAGTGTTCTCTACTATCCTACATAGGAATGAAAAGAAGGATGCTTTTTTCAAAGAAAAGGAGAAAGAGAAAATAAATGAGAAAAGAAGAGAAGAACTGAAAAGAGCAGAGAAAAAAGATAAAGATAAGCAAGCCATTGATGAATATGAAAAATGGCTGGTAGGTATTGTCTGTTAATGGTCTTGTGTCTTGTGAATGTACTTTACTCTTGACTTTTCCATCCGTTTCCATCCAGTTCTCTATGTCTCTGCCTACTGACCATTTTTACCTGAAGCTGCCCTGTGGAATCCATTCTCTCCCCATGTCTGTCATATTGTCTTTGATTTACTCATTTCTGTTGACTCTTCTACTATTCCCTCAAGCACTCAGACTTAAAACTTCAGGCATAATGTTCTTCCTTATCTGCATCCCGACATGCAGTCACTTACCAATCACGCCTGTTCTTGCTTTGCAACGACTCTTACGTCTAAAATCATGGAGAGCTGACAAGTGCACTGCTTGACGGTATGCCAGACTATTTTAGATGGGACTTGTCACGACACATAGTGATACTGAACTGAATAGTGAGATAGTTATTCCATTTTTTAAGTTCTTGTTTGCTCTTTCTAATGACCCCAAGGAGAAGGTTTCGTTTTGGTGTTGTTTAGCGAAAGAAAGTAAGTAGGAAGTTTGGGAGGAAAATGTCTAGCTGGACTTAACATTATTTTGTTTTTTATATTTTTTGTTTGTTTTAATGTACCTATGCTTATAGTTATTTTTCATTGATGTTAAGCAAAATACTGGTTTCTCTTAAAGTATCATTATAAATATGCATGTTTATCATTTTTTGACCAAGTAAGGCATTCATATGAATAAGTACTTTATACACGAGGAGGTGACACATTCATATGAGTGGTTAGCACATCCCATGTTGCAGCAGTCAAAACGTGTAAAATTGCTCCACTGGGTTTAGGATCCGGTTGAGTTTCTTTCCAGTAGGAATTCTTGTCAAACCTATTTTGAATTCACATCAATCTGCTAGTTAAAAATACTGTCCAGCGTATTTTTTTTTTAAGATTTTATTTATTTATTTGACAGAGAAAGACACAGCAAGAGGGGAACACAAGCAGGGGGAGTTGGGAGAGGGAGAAGCAGGCTTCCCGCCGAGCAGGGAGCCCAATGCAGGACTCGATCCCAGGACCCTGAGATCATGACCCGAGCCAAAGGCAGATGCTCAACCAACTGAGCCACCCAGGCGCCCCTGTCCAGGGTATTCTGTTGTTGTATTTCTCTGGTTAGGACTGAACTTGAGCAGCCTTTCATTTGTATAAGGGTCATTTGTAATTTTGTTTGTCAATTGTTAATTCACAGACTTTGCACATTTTTCTCTTGGTCTTTTTCTTGATTTTTAGAAGTTTGTTTATATACCAGGGAAATTAGCCTGTCATTTCTGGTAGGAGTTACAACTACTTTTTTCCCATTGCTTTGTTGGTGTCTCAACTTTGCATATAGTACTTTATGCCATGAAAAATGTTATTTTATTTTCTGGTGTCAAATTTATCAGTCTTTTGGGTTCTGATTTTCAAGCGTAGTTGAAAAAAACTTTCTTTATAACTCGAGGTTAAATGAAATGCTCCCATTTTCCTTCTAGTAACATTATGACTCAATATCTTCACATTTTAACATTTGATCAGCTTGTAATTTACCTTGATAAAACTGAGATACATGATTTGGACTTTATTTTTTCCAAACTCATCTCCTATGAAATAGCCTATCTTTTACCCATTGATTTGAGGTACTGCCTTTGTTATATGATACCTTCCCAGATTTTAGGGTCTGTTTCTTGACTTTCTGTTCTGTGGTCAATCTCAAATCTCATGGTACATATTCCAGTACCATACTGTTTCATTATCAGGGCTTTATATGTTTTCATATCTGTTTTGGTTAATCTTTCTTCATAGCTCTTATTTCAAAGTATTTCTGACTGTTACTGTTTACTTTTTCACATCAACTTTAGAACCAGTAGTAGGTAGAGAGGCATGCAGGACACAAAGCAGACTATTTAAGATAGGATAAAAACATGGAGCACTTAGGAATAAACTTAAGAAATGTGCAAGACCACTATGAAGAAAATTTTAGAGCACTTCCGCAGGACCCAAATGAAGACTTGAGAACATGGATCAAAACTGCTCTTGGATAGAAACACTCAGTCTTATAATGATGTTATAGATGTCAGTGCTCCCTGAAGTAATTTACAAATTTAATGTAATCCTAATAAAAATACCAACAGAAGGACTTTAACAAGGTTCTTCTGATTATTCCAGATAGCCTTATTGATCATCTTAATTAATATTAAGGTTGATAATTAATTGCTTATTTCCTATTCTGACTTTCTTAGCCCCTACTAGTAAGAGCAAACTTGTTTCATGTTTCCCTCTCTCTCCCCATGTTAAATGGAATGGACAAAAAGGGGTTTGTTCAGTCAGTTTCTGTGGACACAGCCTAGTCATTGCTTTTCTGCTCCCTAGTTGGAGGGTCTGCCTCTCTCTGATATATAAAATGATTAATAGTGACCCAATTACAGTTTTTTGGTTTTGGGGGGGGGTTGTTTTGTTTTTCTCAGTTAGGATTCTGAAAGGAGATTCGCTCTTTGCTTCAGTAGGAGTAGCAAGCATGGAGCAAAATGTTAAGACAGAAAAAAGGAATTTCATTCCTCTCTTCATTCCTTTTGTTGTATGTAAATAATTGTATGCTGATGGAAACCTTGCATTATGGTATTCTTGTGACACCTCTCAATTCCATACATATGCTGGTGAAAGAATCATAGACACCTCATAATTTACCAAAATGCTGCCCCTCCCAAGCCATCCAGCCCGCAGAGGCAACATTGTCTAAGGGTTCCTGGATACTGTTGCTCTTTGAGAAAATCACCAATATAAGGAAACCACCAAACTTTATAGTGTTAGCAGAGACTTGGAGAAATGAAGAGACAATCTGAGCTGCAGGATGAAAAGAGCAAGTACTACTAACATTTCAAGCATTTCTGGATTAATGTTTAAATTTCATAGTAATCCCCACATAGTCATTTCTTTGAAGGGAGTGTGTGCAGGGAAACAAAATGGTTCTAAAATTCATCCAGTATAATAAAAATGTGAGAATATGGATGATAATATTTTCAAAATAAGATGAAGTATAGGACTGTTTCCGTCAAGCAGTAAAATATAAATTTACCATTCCACTCTCCCATGAACCAGCATTCTTCTCTCCTGGATTATTCCCATCACTTTCCAAGATGTATAATTCTTAATTCTTAATTCCTCATTTGCCTCCAGATGTGGCTCCACATTTCACTGCTCTTTTTTTTTAATAGCTAAACTTCTACAAAGTTTCATTTACACTTCTTGGTTCTCCGTACCCCTTTTACCCTCAGCACACTCCGGGCTTGTCTCTTTCACCATCACTCTACTGAAACTACGCTTGGAAAGTTAGTTTTGCCAAACCATCTAGCCATCCAGTTGTGTTGCTTTCTGCTGCATTCCCCAGACCTCTCAAAACATTCTGCGTGGTCGCTTTCCCCTTCTGGGGAAAGGAATTGTTTTCTTCCCTGTTTTCTTCCCTGGCTGCCCTGCTCCCCCGGTGTTTCTCATTTCTCTGCCTTCCTCCGCAGTGGCACTGTTGACTTCTCTTCTCTTAACCTGTGTTCCAGATGTTACCGTGGCCTGCAGAGCCCACAGCACCTCACTCACCTGCCTTTTTATTCTCATCTGGTACCCCTCCTGTCTTCCACCCAGTTTGAGTCGTGCTGGCTCACGCTGGTTCTCTCGTTTCCTCTCACATCCCATGTGTCTCCCACATGTCGGAGCCCTCACACACACTGTTAGCTCTGCTTGGAATGCTCTCTCCTAATGCCTCTCACAAGGGGCTTCTCTTACCCGGCTTGTCTCACTTTGAAGTGACTTTCCCTGAATCCACTTTTCTTTGAACGTAAGTACTCCCTTTTATTCTTTAACAATCACAACAACTTCTTTATGTGTTCCATAGAAATTCTCACCATTTGAAATGATCTGTTGTTTATTTAATTGTTTATTAACCATCCGTTTTGAAAATCCCCTGAGGGACAAGGACCGAATCTGTGTGTTTGGGTTTTAGAATCACTTTATCCCTGGTCCCCAGTAGGTATACTGCTTGACCCAGAGTAGGATCTCAGTGCTGAACAGTTGAATGAATGAACACAGATCAAAGCAATGTAATACCAGTAAAATAATAGAACCCCCTCAGGATCTCTCAGAACCTGTTACAAGTAAAGATATGCCATATAATAAAGTGACACAAATTAATAGATGCAAGGATACTATAACTCGGGTTATTTGTGTGATATTTGGGCATGAAATCACTTCAAAGAAACAGCGATAGAAACTTCAAAAGCACCTAAACATTAAATATAAAATGCCAAACAAGAGAAGAACTGAAAGAAAATAAAACACTATCAAGTCTCATGGGGATAAGATGCTTTTCTAAACCGAGAAGTGCTATAGAAATAACAAAGGAAAACATGAACAGATATTGAATTTAAAATCATTAATGCATTAACATAAAAAGTCAGTGTAGGTGCTGCTTGGAGGGTGGATTCCTACAGCTGCTTTGGAAAATAAATCATTTCCCAGCAAAGTTGAACATACTAATACCCTAGAAAACCAGCAATTTCACTCCTAGGCATATACATGGAGAGAAAATCTTTTAAGTACAAGGAAACAAACAAGGATTTTTATAGTATTGTTTTTACATGGAAAAAAAAAACCATCATGTTTTCAACAACAACAAAAATAGGTTAACAAATGGTGATAAGTTGACATGCTGGAATTCTATGAATATTTTGTGGAATATCAATGAACTAGAGCTATGATTCACATAGATGGATCTTAGAGATATTAAGATGAATAAAAAAGGAAGTTGCAAAAATATATATAGCATGTTACATCTTACTCTAATAAAAACATGCAAAACAAAATTACTTGTTTTGGGATTAATAACATTTATAATACAAGTATGAAGAGATGCACTGGAATGCTAAGCATCAAACTGAGAGTAATGGTTACTTCAGTGGGGTGGAGAGGAACCAGCACGATGAAGGGATGAACACAGAGACCTTCAAAAGTATTAGTTGTTTTTTGTTTTTTTTTTTCATAAGGCAGATGGGCACACAGGTTTTGATTACATTACTGTTTAAACAATTGTCTTGGCTGAAATATTTAATTTTTTTTGGCTAAAAAGGACTAAAATTAATGTAGATAAAATATTTGCTTTGCAAAGATAATATTTATCATATGAAATATAAAATTGCCAAACATTAAAAACATTGATACCCATATAGTTAGATGAGCCAGATAATTGAGCAAAAAATTCACAAAAAGGCTAAGAAATAAAAATGTGCTCAAGCTTAATAATAAATAAGCAAAGAAACATGAGACTTAATTTTCAACTATTTATAAAAATTTTGAAGTATCCCTGCTGTCGTGGCATATTCAACCTTTGTACCCAGTAAATTTAGTTCTGAGAATCTGTTCTCAGAAAGACATCACTAGGGGCGCCTGGGTGGCTCAGTTGGTTAAGCGTCTGCCTTCGCCTCAGGTCATGATCCCAGGCTCCTGGGATCAAGCCCCGCATCAGGCTCCCTGCTCAGCAGGGAGCCTGCTTCTCCCTCTCTCTCTGCCTGCCACTCTGCCTACTTGTGTTCTCTCGCTCTGTCAAATAAATAAATAAAATCTTTAAAAAAAAAGAGAGACATCACTAACTTCTCATAATTATACTCTTTGAGTTACAGAATTATAGGTCTTTTTTTCCCCATTTTTCATAACTTTGTTTAAATATTACCACTTTTAATATGAGAAAATAAGTGATCAAGTGGTGCATTAATACCTGTTGGTAGTATACTTATAAATGAGCAATATTCTCAGCCACTATTCCTTTATAACCAGTTAAATAGGAAGTGACATTTAAATGTCTTATAATAGATTACTTTGTTCTTTAGCAAGCAACTTGATTTGAAAATAATGCTTATATATGTATATAAATTTATAATTTTCTATTTTCTTTTTAGGAAAAGAAAGAAAGGCAGGAAAGAATTGAACGAAAACAAAAGAAGCGTCATTCCTTTCTTGAAAATGAGGCACTTCCTCCCTGGAGCCCTCCAAGCAGAACTGTGTTCTCAAAAGTGTTTTGATGATTCTCATTTTTACATTATTTAGTTATTTATCAATTCTCCATTTTAGCCACTATTTATTCAATTAGTTATAGTTAGAAGAGTCTATTTTAATTAAGTGCCAGCCATTTCCACTGACAATGGGAAAGATGCTTTGGTGTTTAATCAGTGAAATGATTGAAAGCATTTTTTTGGACTGTAGATAAACTGCCTCAAATGAGAAGGTAAAAATCAGATTGCTCTTACCATTCTAATGACTCTATCATGTCCTCACAGTCCTTACAATCAGATGATCCATGGTCACTTTCTCTAAGCTGTGCATGGTATTTAAGTGTGTTTATTCCCCAGAATGAAAAGGAAACCATCTAGGTACTATAATCATTGAAATAATTGAATCTCTGAATGATTGTGCATCTAGATTCAGGTTTTAAAAGGAATCGTTGCTGGCTGTGTGTGTGTGTGTGTGTGTGTGTGTGTATTATTCCCCCCCCAAAACTGATCTTAAGCTCGAGCAGTTGCACTTAAAGTGTGCAAGTTAGAGTTTCAGTCAGTTGAGGCAGTAGTTCAGTAGAACTTGAATCATCAAGGCATTTTATTTAAAACGTTTGCCTTATGTTTTAATATGAGTTTTATCTGTCTCAGATCTTAACGTGACAATCGTAGGCACTTTATAATGACTAGACCTCTGAAATTTGTCTTCTAAATTCTATCTCACTTTATTATTTCAGTGGTACCAAAAAAAAAAAAAAATCAATTTCTTGGTAGTGAATATACTTACACAGTAGTTATGGAAATTCCGTAAGAGCTCAAGGTCATTATCACTGTTAATAATTTTTTCCAGACTAAAGCCATAAAGGTGATAAAGGCAATTTTTGATCTCTTAGCTTATCCCAGAGTCTTAAAGCTTATATTTAGAAGACAGCTGTATAGGAAGACAATTTGTAGAAAATGCCCAAAGAATCTTTATTTATTTATCTGATCACTGCATATCTTTATATTAGTTGGACTTGTACTTGAACTGCTCAGCTAGTTTATCACAGACCAAATGTATGCTCTCAGAGCTGAAATACTACTTTAGCCAATGATGCCATGCAATGATGGATGAGAATAAATAATTACTATTTATTAAGCACCTAATGTGTACCCTCTGCTGGATCTTTACAAATGTCAATTCTTATCTTTACAGCAGTTATTCAGTGTAGGTGTTATTTTGCAGATAAAAAGTCCTGAGACTTGGAGAAATACCTTGCCATACATTTAGCATGTGACTGAATTGGGATTAGAATTAAGTCTTTCTCCCTCCAGAATCAATATGCTCATTTTTATGCTCTGTATTATATCAACTTTACAAACACATTTTACCTCTCAGATCCTAAAATCATGTATTGTTATCCAGAGATTATCTTTCCTTTAAGAAATATCTGTTTGTTATTAGAGGTGGTGAACTTTATTAGATCTATGAAATGAAAGATGTTTCCATAATATTTAAAGATATAGTCAAATGCCTTACACCTACTGTTAGAATGTCAGGAAAGCCAGCAGGTTGTGGAACATAGCCTTTCAGATAGTCACTCAGGAGGTTTCACTCAGAGGATTAACCTCGGTGTGGTGTGTGTGCAAGATAAGGAAGATCTCATGGATCACTTTCTATGATCACATTAGTGCTACAGATAAATTTGTTTTACATTTATAAACAAAACTAGAAGCCTTTTTATACTGCCAGGAACTAGGAGCATACTTCATGAACTTGAAACTATTATTATCAATGTGTATTATCAGTATGGGATTTAGCTCCTTTCTTTTTCACCAAATATATATATGGTGCCTACCAGAATGAATCGTTGTTTCTGGTATCGAATTAGCTATTCAGAGCTAAAAAGGTATTTGCAAATTTCAGGAAAGTAAAAGACAGAAAGATCAGGGATATGAAATCATAAATGTATGTGTCATAAATTTCATATTAAATATTTGCTTAAACTTCACAATTATTTTCTTCTTTATTATATTTCGTAGCTTGCCATTATCGTTTCTTAGTTGTTGTGAACATTGAATGAAATGAGTAATTAAAGCATATGGCATTGTTTACATTTATTGCCTATCAAGAGCCCTGCATTACCCCACTTCACGTATGTGAGAAGAAAGTTAACATAGGCAGGGTTCATAATGCTTATTTGACATACACTTTTAGCATACAAGAAGAAATCTCCCCTTTCCTGGCCAGTCTAGCACTCAAAGGAGAATACAGAGGTGACCCGTATTAGGGAGTTCCTAAAAAGAAGTCTAAATACTAATTTCTTAGCACTGCTTGTGAAGTAGGATCAAAAGAGAAATTGAGGTGTTCGCAAAGACCCAGCAAGTCGTTTCCCTCAAAACGGGAAGTTTGTCTTACTATGATAAATAATATATTATTTCCAGTGTACAGCGACCCGTACTGGTCAGTTATCTAGTTGAATGAAATCCTCTCTTCTCCTGCAGCAGAAATAAAGCTGAGTTTTGGGAGCTGGGTGAAAGTCAAGTACTGTTTACTTTCTGAGATCCGAAGAGGCGAATCAAGCCTGGTAATATTCTCTTGAATGTATTTATCTGTTTAAGGTGTATGAGTTCCCCATATGTCCTTAAAAGTATCAAATATCAATATACATATTTGCTCATCAAGTTTTCATTAATTTATAATAAGAGGGAATTCAAATTCAAATTAAGGACACTAAAAGCCTATAGGTTTTCAGATGAAACTTCTAGTTTTGTAAATTGTATTGATCCCTTGAATGCTAACGCTTCAAAGTAAAGAAATTAAGAATTTAATGAATATTTTAAGACATTGCTGAAAAGAGTTTCCCGAGAAATTTACTTATCGGTACAAAAAATAAAATTTTAGACACAATGTATTTTCCATAGCAACCAAGAAAATAGTGTTACATAAATAAAGAGAAACTATATGGCATTTTGGATCAGAAAGAAGAGGCAGTTTTCTTAAAGGAGATAAAAAGTATTCAGGGATAACAATTTTTCAGTGGTTTGTATCATATCATGTTTTGAAAATGTTAGTGGTTCATTTATTGTTTTAATAGTATTGAAACCGATATTTTTCACTGTTGCCAAAGCAGTAGCTGATAATAGTTAAGTATCCACAGTGGTATTACCTTGGAGGGATAAAACTGCATCTGGAAGGGTTTTTAATACTTTAATAAAACTGGCCCAAACCCTATTTCCAAGGTGAACAAGACTACTCTGACTCATCCAAGCCCATACCACTAACCATAAGAATCCCGAGTTAGAGATCAGGTGTCCAGTTTTCTAGTGTAATCAGCCCACCATTCCACAATTTTGACAATCTGATAAAACTTTTCACGCTAACTTTTGTAACCATGGTCATTTTCAACTTGGTTCATTGTGATCCTCTCAGATGCTCCCTTATTCTTCCAGTGCCTTCTCCATTACTCCACCAGATCAAGGCTCTTTGGGCACCTACACTACTACTTCGTGGGTCGGGGAGAACTGAAGTTTCTCAAGCCCTGAGTCACAGACGAAGATACAATGGAAAAAAGGAATTTCACAAAATGGGAGAAATTGCATGTTACTCAAAGTAGTTCCCAAGAATAAACTAGCAGAGAAAACAAATTTTCCTGATGTCATCTTGGCTCTAATTTCAGTAGTGCTATATTAACAGGTATTTAGACCCATATGCTTCCATGCTACACAAAGCAAAGATATTATCAATTGCCCTGCTTCCTAGGTACATTGCTTAACTGAAGACTTCCCTGAATTCTTTTTGTTTCAAAATTTTATGTGATTTGATTATTTTGAAACGTTACATGTAACCGTATAATGTTAAATAAATTATTGGTATTAAATCAGGATGTTGTTTTAAGAATTACTTGAGGAGATGTATTTAATGTCTGCTTTTTAGTAGCATACTTTGTGTTGTGCTAAATTAAAGTTAACCATTCAAGATTTATTTTTGTTGGGTGACATTATTTTTTGATTGTGCCAAATTTCATTTCATAACTTTGGAAAATATGATATGAGTTTTATTTGTGGGCTAACGAAATAATCATTGCCTTTTGCAGCAACATGGATGGATCTAGAGAGTATTATGCTAAGGGAAATAAGCCAGTCAGAGAAAGACAAATACCATATGATTTCACTGATATGTGTAATTTAAAAAACAAACAAAACAAAAAAGAGACAAACCAAAAAACAGACTCTTAACTATAGAGAACAAAGTGGTGGTTACCAGAGGGGAGGTGGGTGGGGGATGGGTGAAGTAGGTGAAGGGGATGAAGAGCACACTTGTCATGATGAGCACTGAGAAATGTATAGAATTGTGCAGTCACTATATTGTACACCTGAACCTAATATAACACTGTATGCTAACTATGCCAGAATTTTTTTAAAAAGTTGAAATAATCATATTATGCTGATACACCTTTTACTAGAAATGACTGAAAATTTTTTTAAAATGACTGAAAATTTGGATATAAACTTTTACTTGAAATACTACACAAATTACAAAAGTAATGTAATTATAAAATTATCAAATAGTTAAAAAGTGCAAATAGCAAAAATAACACGCATTCCCATCTCCCCAAAATAATCATAGTTCACATATTTTGTACTCTTCCAGCTTTTAATTTCCACTGCATTTTTTCCTGTAGTTGAAATTAAATGGAGGATGAAGAAAATAGAGATACAATTCCCTCTCTCTCTTTCTGTTTTTCTCTGTGTCTCTGTCTCTCTCCCCGGCTACCTGTATGTATATACATAGGTGTTGTATTTCTATATATGTCTATATATCTCTATATATACAGATATGTGTAGTTGAGTGGAAAACTCGGGTAACCAAATATGCAGTTTGATCTCCTTTTCTATTTTAAAGAGTAAAATGTTTGAATTTATGCATGTAATCATACGTGTTGTACTTCTATATATATCTGGTTACCAGAGTTTCTACATATATTTGGTTACCCAAGTTTTCCACTCAGCAATATATAATGAACATATTTCCATGCTATTATGATTTTTCTAATAATCTTTGATGCTGCAACTACAATTTAACCTATTTTGGGCAATTTGTTTCCTTATAAATGTTTACTATAGTAAGTAATAATACAGCCAACATTCTTGTAATCAATATCCTTGTTATTAAGAGGGTGGACCTCATTAAATCTATAAAAGGAAAAAAGAATTCATAATATTTAAGGAGTTAGTCAAATGCTTTGTATCTGGTATTAGAATGTTAGGCAGGATGCCTGCGTGGCTCAGTCAAGTGTTGGACTCTTGATTTCAGATCAGGTCATGATGTCAGGGTCCTGAGGAGCTCTGAATTGGGTTCCACACTGAGCGTGGAGCCCGCTTAAGATTCTCTCACTCCCTTTCCCTCTGGCCCTCTCCCTTCCGCCCCTCCCCACTTGCATTGTCCTTCTTAAAAAAAAAAAAAAAGGAAAGCCAGCAGGATGTGGAACTTAGGCTTTGAGATAGTCAGGAGATTTCACTCCAAGGATTAACCTCGCTGCGGTGTGTGTGCAAGAAAAGAAAGACGTCATGGATCACTTTGTCAGATCCCATCATCACTATAGATAAAAGAAATTTCCTAAACAAAACTAGAAACCTTTTTATATTGCCAGAACTACAAGACATGGCACAGGAGTTGTTTAATGGGTACAGAAATTCCGTTTCTCAAGATGAAAGGAGATGGAGATTGGGTGCACCACAGTGTGAATGTGCTTAGCTCTACTGACCTGCACATTTAAAAATGGGTGAGATGGTAAATTTTATCTTATGCGTATTTTACCACAATTCAAAAAAAAACTTCACAGCAAAACACAATGCTTACTCATTCATCTACAGGAGAGATATAGAGGAAACTTCTCCCCTAATTAGAGCTACGTCTTTTCTTTTGGTCTGATCAGATCGACTTGCTCATCCCAGAGGACACATCTTTGATTCAATTACAGTTTCGAGGCATGTCCTAGCTGCTCGGCTTCAACCGAGATTGAACACTGAGAAGAAAAGAAACATTTCAACCACACCTCCTAAATAACTCCTCCTTTCAGATTTTTTTTTTCTTGGATATTCTTGCCCACTTAATTTTGAGATAAGCTTTAGGGTCCTTTTTAAGCTTTTAAAACAAAATTACAATTCGTGGTAGAATTGCAATAATCATGCACAATGAGAAAATCTGTTGGTTTGAAAAAGAATAAAAACTAATCCCTTTCTGAAACTGATTAATGTTCACTTGTATTTTTGTAGAGATCCATTTCACTCTTAAAATTGATGAACCTGTGGTGCTCATGGATTCCCTTTGGGGAAAATCCACTGTGATCCCTACTCATCTTACATATACCCAGAGTAACTTAGTTACTTTCTTTTCTTCGCTGTTTCCTTGCTTAAATAACTGTTATTGAAGGTCTCACCTTTGTAGGTGAATGAATGTATGTATTTCCCCAGCTTAAGGGCTTTATGAGGACAGGAACAATATTTTACACATCTTGGTATTTCTACTTTATCAGTGGGGCCTAGATGAATATTTCTTGGCTAATAAAAGGGCAAGTTAAAAATAGAATATAAAAGACTGCATATGTGTTTATAGTGACTATATAGTACATATATGAACAAGGACCCTATTATTTGATAAAATTATATAAATTATTTTATATATAATTAAAATGGCTTTAAAATGAGTATGATAACTATTGCAAATAACTTAAAATAAATGTCACATCATTTTTTTCAGGCCAAAACAAAACAAAAATTTTAAAAATGGAAAACTCTCTGTGTGCATGTGTGTGTGTGTGACTGCATTAAGTTGGAAAACCTCATTTATATTCTAGCATTCACAATTAAATAGATTGAGCCCTATTAAGCAAAATCCTTTCTTTCTTGGTAGCCTTCCTATGGTACTAGTCAGCAACAAAAAAGAAGGAATGAAGGAAGGGAGGGAGGAGGGGGGAAAGATAGCAAGCAAGCAAGCCCAGGGCTCACCGGCTCATTCAGTCTAAAGGATGAAACTCAGTAGAATAATCTATTAACTAAAGCTTAAATTCAGATATACCAAGTGTGGGTGCTGAAACTAGACTCAACAGTGAGCCCTCATTCCGGGTGAGTGGAGGACATGGTCACTCTGTGGCTACTTTTATCTCATTACTAGATTTAGAACTCAGAATTACACCTTTAAAGCTTGTGATTGTGATTTCCACAAGGCTACCAGATGTTGATTGTCCCATATCAAAACTGCTCATTTATCAAGCAGTGAACAAGCTGCCATGTGTGAGACTCTTCCATAAACATTAGGGATTTGGCAATAATCACCCCTGCTTTCAAGGAACTTACAGTAAAGTCAGGAGGAGGCAAACAAAAATCACCTGAACAAATATACAAATCAAACAATTTCAGTCTCTGATAAATACTGTGAAGAAGATAAAGTAGTTTAATGTGATAGAGCATGACCACGTTGTGGAAGATTGCTTTTCAGCAGGAAGATAGAAGAGGCATCTCTGAAGAAAAAACATGTGAGTTGTGACCTGAAATGAGAAGGCAAGCCTGGGGAGACTTGTTGGAAAAACAGTCCAAGCAGCAAGAACACTGAGTGCAGAGGCTTTGAGGAGGGAAAATGGCAACATGGTGGGTGGTGAACAAGAAGCAGAGAGGAAGGAAATGGGGTCAGAGAGGAACTTAGGTTATATAGAGAGTCTGAGCCATTTTAAGAAGTCTGTATGTTATTCCAAGTGCAATGGAAGAGTTTTAGTTGAGGTGAAGTGAAGTGACATACACTTTGAAAAGTTCTCTCCGGCTACTATGTGAGGGGTGACCCGTCGGGAGATTTCTTTACTAGCCCAGATAAGGACTGACGGAGACTTGGTCTGGGGTTGTAGCACTGGAGGTAATAAAAAGTGGTTGGATTTGATATGTGTTTGGAAGGTAGAGAAATAGACGTTTCTAATGGATAGAATATGAGGTATGAGGGTGAAAATCAGCAACGGCATCAGGGGTTTCATTCCAGCCTGAGTGAATGGATGAATGGCGATGCCCTTTATTCAGATAGGCTTGAAGGCGACAGATTTGGGGATGCAGGATATGGAGGTGGATCATACATTTGCAGGGACGGATGCCAGGAGTCTCCAATCCTAGCGAAGAGATTAGGGAATGGAGTGGCCGACTGACCCAAATTTGTGTCTGGCCCCGCATGCTCTTTAACTAGCACATGCCATACAGAACCCCATGGCACACTCATAGTTCCAGAAGGTTTATTAGTATGGTCCACGATCTGTCCCAGGAAGCAATGGTATCCCAAGACAACCCATGCCCTGTGTCGAGTCCGGTCTCGATGCCGACCAGCCCTGCTCTTGCTGTTTGGAAAGCCTTTTTTGCCTTCTTTTCCCACCACATTGAGCAGGAGGCATTTCAGTCCATCATGACAAAGGGTCATGAAAAAGAAGTATCTCTGTGTTTGCACTTCCCGGAAGCTGCTTGGTCCCTGTGCCACTTTCCTCACTCCTTTTCCAACAATTCTCCAATTCTGCATAATAATAAATACCTATGAAGATCAATGTTTGTCAAACAAAGCACAAACGCAAACTGAATATTGTATTCCAGAGCTAATAGCTGGTAGGTTCACAAAATCCTAGATTCACAAGTGCTGACATTGTGGTAATAAGAAATAAATATTTCGTATTCACTTCTGGCACAGAGCTCCTGTAACTCTTGAAATCTCTTAAGGGATGAGAGCAACCAGGGTGTCTTTTGTTATGTTAATAAGGTGACTGTACTGTAGGAGGAAGGCCGGTTGCTGGGAGACCCGACCATGTGATCGGAGGGTTGGAACGTTCAGTCCTGCTCCAGGGAGGGGAGAGGGGCTGGAGGTTGAATCAATTGCCAGAGGCCGATGATTTCATCGTCATAGTTTTAGGTAATGAAAGTTCCATAAAAACCCAAGTGAAAGGGGTTTGGGGAGC